TACATATCATACTATGATATTCAACATGACGTGGACATCATAATCGCCTGGTTGAACAGCATGCTACCAACCCGGGGAAGCTCCTCGTCCTCGTCGGATGTCGTGCCTCATGGGGAAGCCCTCGGACGAGCAGTCCGTGACTTGGGCTCTGCACTCCATGGCATCCAGACAGCAGATCGCCCCGAACACTGGGTGCAACTGGCGGAGACAGCAATGTTCCTCGGTGCCGTGCAGAGCGGGGAAATGGTGGCCCACCCGGCTGATGTGATGGCGGAGCTGCGGGGAACGTTGACCTCAAACCTTGCCCGTGAGAAAAGGCACCGGTTCACGAGGGGGATCCTCCTTGAACTCCAGAGCCTCAGCACCAGAATGTCCGACTGGTCGCCGGGGGAGATCAACACGATCCACGCGGCCCTTCTTCGTGCGCTCGATGACGTTGAGGAGCTACTCCCTCCGATGGGGGGACCGAGCCGCAACCTCTCCTAGACCGGGGAGAGCCACCGACAAATCCCTCCGCTGCCGGGGAATGGTGGCTACAAGACCGTCACCATGGTTTGGGAAATGCACCAACGGGGGAAGAAAGACGCAGCCCCACAGTGGCAGTGGACAGCGATGCCGAGAGCCTCGCGAGCCACAGAAGACGTCGGATGCGAGCCGCCCTACACGATGACTGAGCTCGCACCACGACTTCCTCTGAGCAAACTGAGTGCAGGGGAATCGATGTGCCAGGGGAAAACACCCCTTACCTACCTCTGACCCCTATCTCCTTTACCGTTGTCAACTTATGTCACACCCACACCCATGCAATGCTGCTGTGTAGATGCCACCCCTCCAGCGCCAGGGGAACGACTGACTTGTACGTATGGTTCTCCTTTAGGGGGTTCAGTAGTGCTGTGCCTTTGTTTCGCATAACATACTGGCCCGGGGGGAACACCTCCTAATCACGCAGTGAAGTCCTGCACCTCAGGGGGAAGCTTCCGGGACACAAACCTTCCACGTATGCTACTCCTTTAGGTGTCTAGTAGTGCTGTGCCCTTGTTTTGCAACACAGACAGTCCCGTGAGTTGACCTCCAACCCCCAGAGCCGGCCAAGCATTCCAGGTGGACACATGGTTCTCCTCTAGGG